ATAATAATTAAAAAATTTAATTGATTTAATTTTACATAAATAAAATGAGAATAATAAATATTATTTTTAATATATTATTATGATAACTCTTACTTTAAATAATGTTTTTTTACCGAATATAATAAATAGTTTAACCATAGTAAATTAAAGGTTTGAACCAAATTTGAGTTATATAGTCAGACTTGTCTATTATCACCACAATCAAAATATGTGCTTATAAAAAAGGATTTACTATATTATGAGGATATAGATTAATTTAATCATAACTGGTTTTAATATAGGCGCGAATACAAAAAGGTTTTTATATGATGTGATTATAGATAGGGTTATATCATATTTTAATCCCTTATTATCTATTTTATAAATATTAAATATAGTTTCGAAACTGATTTAAACTGAATCAATCAATATCTATACCAGCCTAAATCTCACGATATTTTTTTTTTAATTGGCCAGAAATAAAAATTTTTGTCAAAAAATAAAATATTTATTGAAAGTCTAGGATTCATACAATTAAGAACTTTTTTTTTTAGTATAGAGAATATATTAAAAATATTATACCGAAATTAAAATAATAAAAATACTTCAAACGCGAAATAGCTCAATACGTGAAATGCGAATCACAACTTGATAAGGAATATAGAAATGAGGATTTCTGGGAATGTATTGACAATCAATATGCTGTAAACTTAAACTACTGAGGCCAAAAAATGCACATACTATTTATAAATATTAAGATCTGCTGTGAAAATAATTCTGCTAAATAACTGAATATTATAAACAAAAATAATAAAGAGTTAAATCAACAAATAATATTTACCTTTAAAAACACATCATTATGTTCTCTGTCACCATAAGTAGATCTTAAATTTTGAATTTTATTAAAATTCAAATATATATAATATATTTTTAAATTAATAAAGTTTGTGAATATCTGCATAAAAATCTAATATCTATACCCCGTTTAGACACTGTAATAAAACATTTAGAAATACAAACAAAACTAAAGAGAGCATAAATTCAATTATTTCATTCTTATAAATATCCTGTGAATTAGAAAAAATTGTAAGTACTAAATTTATTTGCCAAATACTAAACTTACGACCGACGCCTTCCCCTACTTCTTTCCAAAATTTTCATCTTTGCTTTGGCATCTTCTTGAGAAACTGGTTTATAATATAATGTAGGTTTTGTAGAAGTTTTTGAGAAAAGAGTATCTAATGATAAAACCCTAACATTAGATGTAGGTTGTGATGGTGGTGCCGGAATTGGAAATTTAATCGCGGCCGCAATTCCCGCTACAATTAGTTTGAAGTAAATTTATAATTTTATTAAGAATAGTGTGAATATACGATAACAACTAACAAAAATCATACAATTGTTGTTCCCGTTAAGCCTCTTATCTCTCGCCTCGCGCGAAGCTCCGTGTCCGCTTTTTGCCGATTTTTCTTCGGCTTCAACAATTAACCCCTGTGCTTGTTCAAAAGTTATAAATTCAAGTTCGAGGGGTTTACCAGTTTCAGGCGGGAAAATCGTATGCCATAGTGTCTCTCGTGCCAAAATCGCTGATTCCAATTTTTCAAACTGTACATAAGTGGAAGAATCATTTATAAATTATCATAATTTATAATAACCCAAACATTTCAATATTAATAATTTACTTAATAGATGTTTACTTTCACATAGCAATGAGACTTAATTTTATCCATCCAAAAATATTCAATCCTGCCAAAATTTTCCAACAAATTCCTAACCATATGAATTGTCAAAGGGCGAACAAAATTTTTAACATGAAGAGTTGAAGTTGGTTCATGCTGAGGAGGAGGAACTAAATAAAATTTAGAAACGATTAATTATAAAATAAAAGTTTTTTGAAACCATCCCTATATATATCTTACTAATTCGTATTTGAGCAGGGCCTATTTCTTCGTCCGTACCAGCATCTTCCCCCTTAAACGTTAAACATAAAAGAAAAGTTTTAGCAGATGAATATATATTTTTCTCTCTCGATTATCAAATGATTAGATTTACTTTCGTCAACCTTTTGAGAAGAGCCATCATAATCTTGGACATTATTCGGTCTTCCGATATCATCATTATCCGTTGGCGACTGGGTGACATTAAGTATTTCCTAAGAGAAATAAAAGATGTAAGGATTTTCACCGATCCAAAATTAATTGGTTGATACTCGATTTACCTTCAAACTTTCGGTTGTAATTGATTCATCAAGATCATCAATAGTATTTTCGGTCTTTTTAGGTGGTAATGAGGACGAAGTTTTTGAATCATCAACACTTTTCCGATGCGTTTTTAACACTCTTCTTGGTCTTTTTGATTCTTCATTCAATTGATTATCTCCAGCTAATGTGGTCTCGGCGGTTGCTGTTGAAGTATTTTCTAAGTGGTCTGTTTCAATAAATTTTAACAAAAAGCAATTAGCAGAAAGTTCTATTAATTAAGTTCGTCCAAGTTTTTTCGTGTTAATATAATGAAAGAAAAGGAAAAGAGGTGTAGGGCAAACCTGCTGAATCTGGCATTTTTTTCCAACGCCAATAGTTTTGTTTTTTTTTTATTTACAATATAAATCGTTTATGACAAATAAACCGGAAAAGAATAAAAAAGAAAACGAATGGTTGGAACCAAGGACTCAGCAAAAAGGATACTTGTATTTTTATAGCTAAATATAATACCCGCGTAGATTTAGTCGTTTTTTTTTTTTTTCTTTTTCAACGCGCGAATAAAACTTCATTTTTTTGATATTCAAGATTTATGTGTTTAAAAGGTTGTATGTTAAACGTGACTCTAGCATTGTACCACCATGATATAAATATGATGAATTTTGACCAATTTTACTTTTTTTTTTTTTCACTCGATAACTATACAAACACGATGACAGATAAAACTCCCGAAGCAAGCTCGCAAGGCTCTGGACAACTTATCAAAAAACAGAAATTGGATCAAGCAAATGCATTGACTATCTCAAGTGCAGGTTCAGGTTCTAATGGCGCTTTAATACAAACGGTTTGTTTTTAATCTATTTTTCAAAAATTTAAACAAGGTAGTCCTTTAACGTTATATGTTTTTTTTTGTTAGATAAAACGTACGTCTGGTCTTCAGGCACCGATAATGCTGTTATCCGGACATCAGGTGTGAGGTTGTTATCTTGTTTTAAAATGCTTTTCAAAAAAAATTTGATATATTCTATAGCCAATTCATCTTAAGCAACTTTGATTTTTAGGGAGAAATATACACCGTAAGATTTAACCCCTCGGGACAACACATAGCATCTGGTTCATTTGATAGAACTATATGTAAGCAATTACTCTAGTCATTCAATTTCAAATAAATGATTAAATATGGCTAATGGTTTTTTTTTAGTATTGTGGAACACATACGGTGATTGTATTAATTATGGAGTATTAAAGGGTCATAACGGAGCCGTTATGGAACTTCAATGGTCACGAGATTCTAGGTAAGTTGTTGAGAAGTGATGAAAGAATAAATAGATGTTTATTTATCATGAATTTCCCTTTTTTACCTTTAGCAAGATTTTTTCATGCGCTACGGATAAAACTGTTGGCGTATGGGACGTAACAACTGGCACAAGAATAAAAAAGTTTAAAGGTCATACATCATTTGTCAATAGTGTTTCTGCTGCCCGTAGAGGAAATGAAATTCTAGTTAGCGGTAGTGATGATGGTACCATAAGAGTGAGTAATTAATGGAAAGATTTTATCGAAAAGAGCGATGATTAATGGCTTGATTTTTGAAAATTTGTTTAGATATGGGATCTCCGACAAAAACATGCCGTTGACACTTTTACTCATCAGTATCAAATAACAGCTACATGTTTTAGTGAAGCTGGAGATTTGGTGTTTGCGGGTTGCTTGGATAATGATATTATTGTAAGTCAATTATCTTTCTTTGACTCCATTATAAGAACGCATTTTGAAATGATGACGATTTCAATGTCCAATTACTGTAAGACCGTATATCAAATACATTATGGTTAAATTTTCTTGAATATGCCTGATAATTAAAATACAGCATCATCCTAATATAAGATATTATCTTGATAAATTAATTAACCTATCATCTTAACTGTATTAGGCTTGGGATTTAAGGAAAAAGGCCCATGCTTATGTTCTCAAAGGACATCAAGATACTATATCCGGTATCAAATTGAGTCCAGATGGATCTTATCTTTTATCCAATGCGATGGATAACACGGGTAAGTTTTATTTTGATAACTATATTTGATTTCTAATTATAAATATATTTCGTTTTACAATTTATTTGTATTAAATCTAGTTCGAGCCTGGGATGTTAAGCCTTTCGCCCCAACCGACCGTCTTCTTAAAATCTTTGAAGGTATTTAAAATGAATTCTTTTCTTGTTCAATATTTTCCAATTTTATCAAACATTATCAATTTCTTTATAAGGTGCACCTCATAGTTTTGAGAAAAATTTAATCAAACCCGCTTGGTCATCCGATGGCTTACAAATAGCCTCAGGAAGCGGTGATCGAACAGTTGTAATATGGGATTTCTCGAGTCGCAGGATTTTATATAAATTACCTGGACATAAAGGTTGCGTCAACGAAGTGGATTTCCACCCTAACGAACCCATTAGTAAGTTTCTTTAATAATTATGTCGGCTTTATTTTACATTTATCTAATGTTAGATTATTTTCTTATATACAGTTGTTTCTGGAAGTACCGATCGACAAATTTTCCTAGGTGAAATTAATCCAAGTAATTTATAAGTCGAGGTAATAAAAATCTTCAGGATTATTTTTTTGAATTCTCTTTTTTTTCCGAATTTTTCAAGTTTTGGAACATTATAAAATGATTAGATTATTAGCCGTAATTGTTTTGCTTACATTAGATTGTTGAGTAAGTATAAATGGTAAAATAAAAAAATGTAGACTTTGAATTTCAACTAGTTAATAATAAATACATTAAAATCCAATTTACTATTATCAAATTTATTGAGAGTTATTATGAATCTCCTATTAGTGTCTCGAACCTCTTCACCCCTCTAGGAGTATTTATGTATGTGATTGTAGATCTCATCCTGTTGGAAATTTGTTTCCTCTCGAAGTAATCTTTAAGAATTTTTAAATTCCTTTTCCAAAGGACCTTTTGTTGATCGGTCAAATCTTTATCATCTAAAGATAATTTATATGCGTTCATAATCTGACCAAGTAAATTGTTGTTATATAATTCAAAATTCTTTTCTTTTTCAATTGAAGTAATGATATCTTGTAAACCAATTTTATGTAATGAAATCAATAGCCATCTAGTTTCAATTAATGAATTATCATCGATCCATTTAATTTCGGCCAATTCCAATACCTTTGTTAAAATTCGTAAATCAAATGCGAGTTTCTTTTTAAATTTCATGATATCATTATATAACAATTTTGCCATGGACCAATTCTCATTCATCCTGCAAGAAATCATGAGTAAATCATAAGTTTCCGGGGTTAAATTTAAATCTCTTTTCTGAATTGATTTTATTGTCGAGATGGCCTTTTCAAATTGTTTCGATTGATTACACATAAATATCAATTTATTAAAATTATAGATATCTAAAGGTAAATCCGGAAATCGATTCAAGGCCTGATAAAATAACTTGATCCCTCTCTCATATTGTTTACCATCAATACATAACCCTAATATGATATCCAAGGTTTGAGTTGATAATTGACAGATGTATGATGATGATGATGATGATGATGATGATGATGATGAAGGGGAACTACGATCATCATCGGATCTCAAATCATAATAATTACCGATGATTTCAAATGCTTTCTCATAATGATGAGATTTCCTACAAACCAATAACATGGAACGTACAAGGTGATCATCAATCGTAACATCACTAGGCCTCTTAACCAAATTCCATTCCAAATCACGATCCACCATCTTTTGATACTCTATAGAATTAACATCAAATTGATTCCATAATTTTAATGCGATATCATACCCATCAGAACCTTGCCTCGCACAAGCGTTAATCATTATCGTAAATGATTCTTGATTTGGTAACCATTTCCCCTTACTTATGAATTCATTAAAAATTTCTTTTAAGGTTTCAAAATTTTCCGATCTGGAACAAACTTTGAGTAAACAATTGACATGAATCGAATTGACTTCAACTTGACTTTGTTGTATGCTTTCCAATATGTATCGAGCTTGTGCGACGTTATCTTTGAGAGTTCGATTCTCCGCGATACCATTTAATAAGATCGTATACGTATGTTCATTTGGTACGAACGAACGTTTTTTCATCTAAGGCAATCGTATCAAACAAAATCAATTTTTTTTTTCTATTTAAAAATTACTCGAGTATTTTATCTCTTTACCTCATTTAGTAGTCGAATTGCTAATTTAAGCTTTCCTTTCTTGACGCTATGATGAATTAAATGATTCCATACGACCACTGATTGTGCGCTCTTTTTCGTATTCCATACGATCGATAATACGTCCTCGAACCTATCCTGTTCGCTAAATTTATTTATCAATTTAGATAATTCATACGGATCATCGGGAACTTTTACTTTTGGATCGATTGTTTTAAGAGGAATTTTTAATCGATGGCATTGGGCGGTTGCCGAAAAGGTACGCACAAAAGGTGAAACCCGGGGTGTAACGTTATTAATGACTGGATTTTTTATTATCGAATTTTTAAGAGATAAAAATCTCAAGGTACTGATAAACATTATATCAAACGATGAAAGAAATTTCGAAAAACAAAAAAATAAATATTCGTATGATCATCATATATGCTGCAAATATTCCGCGGAATTATATATCACATGTTAACCCTCGTAACGTTTTTTACGGCGTGGTTTTATTTGCATTTATATTTATTATTGTTTTACAATTAAATAATAATAATAATAAAAATAATGTTTCAAAAGAAACTCAATGCATTCGGATGTCTTCTAATTGTATTACTAATAAATAAACATTAAGATCCGACAAAATATTAATATATAATTCAAATTCTTTGTCTATTAGGTTTAAGGTCACTCATTCCAAGCCTTAAAAAAAATAATACCTTTCCTATTATTGTGTATTTGTAAAAGAAAATTAAAACTCTATATTTTTAACCAATTGCTGAAAATCAGCATAATCAGCATTAAAGTTAAAAAGAAAAACAAAATAAAATAAAAATAAAAAAAAGATATATGCATATATATCAAGTGAAATAAAAAATTAAATGTGTGGTAATTAATTTAACTTGGATTGTTATCACCGAGATAGCCTTGATGCGGCTGCACTATTATGCAAGGTTAACAATGTTAGTATATGACTAATACAAAATATTCAAATTATGAAGAAATTTACCTGGATAATAAGACGCATGCTGAGGTGGCTGTGAATACAAATCATCATCATCATTCCCATCATCATCTTTATCTTTAGAATTTGCTGAGGAGCGTTCAATCTTTGTGGTCTATAAATCAAAAATTTGCATTAATTCAATCATTCATAACGATATCGATTAAAATTTAAATAATCCGAGAATGTTCCTCTTACCTCTCGATACTTTGCCAAGTAGATCTTTAGTGCCTCCGCATAATTTTCAAATCCTAAAGACTGCATCGCCCATAAAATATCTTCACCGTTAATGGTTTTTCTTTTTTCTTGTTGACAACGATCACTTGCCGTACGAATAAAAAAATTAATAGGTCAAGGAAAAAGATACGATATTGTCTTCAAAATTTCATTGCGCTTTGCAAAACTTATTTTCTTAAAATAATAATAATAATAATAATAATAAAGGATATTCGCTTGTTATAAATGAAATAAATTCGGAAACACACTCTTGTACGCATTCTTTGGCTTCTTTCGCTATCTTTGCGTTTTCTGGTAAAGCGCGTTTCATTATACGCGCGACATTTGCTATCGGAAGGAATCGATCTTGTTCTTTAAAATCTTCGACATCATCGTCTCCGGATGGGTGTGCTCCTCCTTCTGACACGGACATGTTGGTGATGAAGAGTGGAGATTTTAAAATTTAAGCCTTTTGAAATAAAAACAATTTTAAACGACGTGAAACGCTGCGTATTTTAAAGCTGTAATACTAATATTGGTTAAGTAGTTGTGGTACTCGTGGTAGGCAAGAAGTTCAGCACTGTATACTTTTAATAAAAAAAAGTTCCGGTGAACAAAAAAAATCGGAGATTTTATAGTACTTGTGATTGGCTACAATGATTCCTAAGTTAAAAACAGGAATTGCTATTTAAATTATTTCCGGGAAAAATAAAAAATGAAATTATCATATTTGGCATATAAAAGTAAAATGATTTTTCCCGGCAATTTACCCCCTTCTTATTGTAATTATTTGATTTTGAAATATGACAAAGGCTCAAGAATGGCTAAATGCCAATGTCCCAAATATAAATCAAAGAGGTCAAATAGTTAATTTGCAAATATATGCTGGTACAGGAACCAATTCCAACCAAAACAATGCATTTGTTTTTTATAACACTAGCTTAGAAGATGAATTAAATTTGAATGAATTTGTGAATTTGCAACAATTATATATTTGTGGTAGCAACACAAATCAAAGGCAAGCTTTAACTGGCTTGAAGGTTGATAAATGCGTAAAATTAAATCTTATACATATTGTTTACACTAATCTAGTTGAATTAGATTTGGAGAAAAATTCAGCGTTAAATAATTTGAATTGTAATTATAATCAACTTGTTAATTTGAACTTGGAGGGTAATCCAGCTCTCCAAACCTTGAATTGTCAATTTAACAAACTTACAAGTATTAATGTAAGTAAGGCTGCTATTACGAATTTATATTGTCAAAATAATAATCAATTAAGTAGTTTGGATTTAAGTAAGAATACCAAATTAGTTAATCTTCAAAAGGATGCTGGGACTGATCTTTACACTACATTTATGGGCAATTTAAATGAAACAATAGAAGAGTTGAAAAAGGAAAAGGAACAAGCCCAACGTCAATTGAAAAGTTTAATTGACATAATCAAACCTAATAACAGTTTTGCCAATACTAGTCTAAAAAGCGAAGTGGAAAAAATTGAAGAGGAAAATCTTACTCAGAAATTGGAAAATATGAAGATAGAATTAGAAAAATTAATTGGCGATGCAAAAAAGTATCTGAATGAAGATCTACGGGAGTGGTTAGAAACTCTCCTAGAAGCTCAATTAGAAATATTAAAAACTAATAACCCCTTTGCTAAAAAGCAACTGGAAAAGGCTGAGAGAATATTAACTAAAGAGTTACCTGCTGATGAATTGAGGAAAATTCTTGATAAGCAAAAAGAAGTCAAATCATTAAGTGAATCAATGACTCAATGATCTGAAATACGAACGAAAGTTTCTTCGTCGCGAAGACACTAGATATTTGTGTTAAAGATCTGGTCATCAAAAGATAATTTTAAAACAAAAGCAATCGTTGAAAGACAAAAGATAAGAGAATCGCATCATGGATAACGAATCTGCTTTTAATTTTGATAATTATTTATATAACTTTAAACTCAATTTTAGATAAGCAAATTCATCGAAAAAGGCAATCAAGGATCTTAAATCAGCTAATTATTATCACTTTATAATGTACACTTGTCACGGGATTCCTTCTGACATGCTTGATATGAAAATCGCTTGACTTGATACTTTTTTTTTATCTAGCAAGTTTATGATTCTTTGTATTATTATATATAGATATTGTTAAGGTTGATTAGTAAATTTATAAATTTACTAATTAGAAATTATATTTATTAAATTACATTTTATAAATTAATCAAATTTAAATTATTATATAAATTTATTTAAAATTATAATTACAGAAATATAAATTTGATAAAAATTATACTTTTGAAAATTAAACTTACTATTTAATGATTTTATTTTTAGATGTTTTACAAAAATATAAGTATTAAAATTTATTTTTATAAATCTTAATATCATTATTTTAATTGCAAAAAAATAAATAAAATATTAATGGATTTTAATTTACTAAGTAGTATAATATTAGAATTTTGATCTTGCTAAATTATTTTTAGTATTTATTTAAAATAAATATCTTTATTAAACTTCTCATATATCTTTAAAAAGTTAAATTCAGTTTTAAAATTAAGTAAAAGTTTAAAAAGATTTTATAACATTAAATAAAATTCCAAAAATTTTATAGAATAACATATTTAAGATAAATATTAAAAAAAAAAAACAAAAAATCAAATTTTTAAATTTTTAAATTTTTCTTAAACAAATTTAAATGTAATTTTTAATTATTTGATTTAAATTAAATATTAAAATTTGCTAAATATTAAAATAATTAATATTAAATAATATTCAAATTTTAATTAGAATATATAATTAAAACAATTTTCAAAATTTATAATGTATATAATATAATTAACATAATTAATATAGTTAATATATTAAATATATTAGATAAATATGATAAATTAGATATATATATATATTTATTTTTCAATAAATTTTATTTTATATAAATAATAAAATTATATAAATGTAAGAAATTCATAAGTTAGTTTTAATAGTAAATAAGAATATTATTTAATAAATAATAGATTATACTATATATTATATTATATTAAATATAATTTATTATTATTTTTTGCATTTTTTTTTAAATATTAAATTATTTTAATAAAATTAAAAAAAAAAATTTAAATATATTTTTATAATTAATATAATTTTATATATATAAATATAAAATATATAAATAATTTTTTATAATATTAATTATTATATTTCTATTTCTATTTTAATTATAAATATTATATAAATAAATATGATATAATAAAAATATTTTATATAAATGAATAAAATATTTAATTATATATTATGTATTAAATAGTAAAATTAATTATTAAATTAAAAATAAAATATTTTAATAATTATTAATTATGTAATAATTAAAATATTTTATAAATATTATTTTAAAAAATTATTTTTAACTTAATATTTAAAATTTTTATTTTATTATAATAAATAAAATCAATGTTAATTTTAAGTATATAAAATTAATTATTTAAAAAATACTAATAAATATTAGTTAAATATTAATTTATAATAATAAAAAAGATAATACAAATTACAAAAATTATATTTTTAAAATAATTAATAAATTTATAATATTTATTATATTATTACAATTATGATTAATTTTTTTATTTGAATGTTTAATTATTTTAAATTTTAATAGTATTTTTATTATATTTTAACTATTAAAATTTTTGATTAATATTAGAAATTATTACCCTATATTAAATCATTATTTAATGTTATAATTTAATATAAAATTAATAATATTGATTTAATATTTTTAATATTATTTAACATAATTTTATTTTTTTATTAAATTAATATTAAAAATTTTAAAATCTTATATAAATTTAATATTAAAAAATTATTGAATTTATATTAGACTTATTAATAAATTTTTCTATAAATTACTAAATTATCTAATACATTTTTTTTAAATAATCATTTGTATACTTCTTGTTTTAATACTTTACTAATAATAATATATATTAGGTCTTTTTATATTTTTGCTAATAAGGTTTTGCTGAATTATTATTATAATGTCTTTATATTATTCACTAATAATATTAAAATTTATATTTTAAGTTTTTAAAATTATTTATATAATATTATATATAAAGATAATGTTGTAATTAAGAAGTTACATCTAGTTACAACTTTTTGTAAATTTATTTTAATATAAAAATTTTTAAAATGATTGCAGTTCTATCTTTAATTATTTATAAAAATAATGTTATAACTGATTTTAAAAATTTGTAACTAATTGCAACCTAGATTACAATCTCTTATAGTTGCAAACTTCTATATTATAATTTTACCCTTTAAGATTCTGCAATTTTTTGTAATCTAATAGTTGCAAATCTATCTATAATTACATAGTGTTACATATAAAGATGAATACATAATTAAGAAGTTACAACTTGGTAAGTTGCAACTTGAGTTGTAACTTGGTTGCAACTTCTTGTAAATTTATTTTAATATAAAAATTCATAAATAGTTGCAACTCAAAGTATTGCAACTTAAGTTGCAACTAGTTAAAAATTTTAAAAATAATTATGGGAACCATCTTTAGTTACATAATAAAATAGATCATTAAATAACATTAACGTTATTTATATCACTTTGTTAATTTATTTAGTTTACATTGTTTATTTATTTTAGATTATTTTATTATATTTATTATTTTTATTTGGTTTATTTAAATCTTGTTAACAGATATATATATTTTATTTTATATAAATATAACTGAAAATCTTTAGTCAGAAAAGTGTATTAGTTCAGAATAGTTATTGAATAGTTTAGTTTGATTTATTAAAAACATTTGTATAGTATAGAGCACTGATTTGAAATAATACTCAATTGTTATCTTATATCAAATAAATGATTAATACTCATATTTTACTTAATCTCAACTATAAAATTACCCACTTATATTAGTTGTCATTTATATCATTTATAATAAATAAATAATGTTAAAGAACTGACTATAACAATAGTAATTAATTATAAATAAAGTTTATAAATCTAAATAAAAGAATAATTATAGAATTATTTCTTTATAATAATAATATTTAGAATTTAATAATTATTAATAATACTAATTTATAAAAAAAGAGATTAATTATATAATATTTTAAAATTATATTTTGAGTTTAAATAGATGTTAATTTAGGATTAATTATTGAATAAACAACTAAAATTTTATTATTTAAATGAATTAATATATATTATCAAAATATTTACAAATTATTTAAAATTAATAAATTCTAAGAGAATTATTAGTAAATTAATTTACTTTCTATTAATTTTAAATAAGCTAATCTGTCTTTTAATAATTTTATAAGTATAATCAATTCTATTTAAAACTTTATATTATTTATATAAAATTATTAAAATTTATATAATTTACTTGTATAAGACTTATATTAAGCAAAATTTATGTAATTATAAAGTGTAATCTTAAACTTACATTAAAATTTTTTTTAAAAAATGTAATTAGAATTAGAAACTAATTCAAATATAAAAAAAGTTATACATCACTAAAATAAATAAAGAAAATTTTAGAGTAAAAAGTTATTCTTTTTAAACATTATAGTAATGAAGTAACCTTTATCTAATCAAATATCTAATAAATATAAGTTTTCTTTTGGAATAAATTAAGCCTTTTGTTAAGTTTATTAATTTATTTTTGAGCTAAACTTAGTATCATATTTAATTATTTATTTTACAAATTGAAGTTCATTTTTTAATATATTTTACAATTAAAATGATTTATTTAATTGAGATGAAAGAGAGAGGATAATTCTGTTCAGTTAATGAGCGATTACTTTAATGATTATTCATGAGAACTTTCAATTGCAGTAACAAAAATTTTTTATTTTATCTGATAAATTAAATGCAATTATCAAGCTCAAGAACACTATCAAGGAGATAAATGTTCCTGAATATTCATGAAAATGTAATTTCAACCATGATGATTATTTGAGTTCAAGACCAACCCGAACTTCTTGTAAGAATAGATATAGAAGAGTATTGGACTGAGAAATCATATAAAAGACATATTCATGTCAGTCGTACCAACCGTGTCAAGTAACACTTTGAGCTGTGAACAAGAATTGCTTAATCAAATCGCATCGTTGGAGACATGATACATACAACATAGCATCGTGAGAAATTTTACTAACCAAACCCTTGCTTTGTAGGATTCGATGTTGTTAGCCCGAAAGGACTGGACCGTAAATATAGATCACGCAACCTCGAAAGTCTAAAAATTCCATTCGTGAAATTGAAAATGATGGTACAGTATTCAACGTGATTGAATAATCACCTCGAACATGTTTATAGTATTCATTGATACGCCTTCGAAACCAAAAGTGTCAACACTATGGGCTTAGTGACGACCTGGATCATATTACTGATTTGTATCCCGTTTTTTCATGTGGTTGTATAGGCTAAAAGACGAAAAAATTTCGTTGAGTACTTTGTTATTAAAATCGAGTTACGAACATAGTAAATCATAAGATCCGTAACGTGATTTTAATAGCAACTGCCCAAGTCATTTGGAAGGATTGCATGGTTGTTGAGGGCACAGCAGCCGGTGGAAACTTCATAAAGTGACGAGCAAACGATAATAAAAAGTTGGTATTAATCACGTGTATATTTCCGGGAAAGTTTTCATTGCATATACTGGACTCAAATATCTTCTTCGGGTGCTGACTGAAACTTGGCGTTTGTTAACTGATACACATAAAAGTCCGACATTTACTGGATCCATTAATCAAAAAGTTAATAATTAACCTTAACTCATAATAGCGTAATAAAAATATATACACTCACTTTTTTTTTCGAAATCTTCTTTTTCGTACACATCATATTCTTTGCTGTAAAGTTCTATCTTTTCAATTCTTCGTGGTTACAACGTATTTCGTCGTGGTATTGGGGTGTCTCCTCTCTTGAACAGGGATATTTTTCGCTATTCTGTATCTCGTAATAAATTGTTGTTCTTTCTTTTAATTAACAAATAATCAGTTATCTCGTTACAATATAACGAAGAGGTCGGTAAACTGAAGAGTTTGAAGAATTCAACATGAGCTCAACTTCTTCAAAAAATTAAATGAAGACTTTCAAGACCCAAATGGATGCGAAATTGAAGTATCTACCATGCGACCTTACTAGGAGCGTCGGGTTTGAAAACCAAAAGAATAAATTTGGCGATAATCCTACGATGCTTTATTTTCTAATTACTTAACCAAAATCGATCATTTGTGTTACTACTAGTACTGCTATTATTTAAATCAAAGAGAAAAATTAAGTTAATGATGAGAACTTTATTAACATTATGAAAGATAAAGTCCAGTGGATCTTTGCTAACGGAAATGTTAATTATTCGAGTTTCTTGTATTTCTACTCAGAATATCAATTGTTTGGACAAATGAAACGAATTAAAAGAATTGTATATTAATCGCTTTGACTTTTGGTTAAAAATATACAAGATCGAAATTAATCATGATTCTATAACAAAATATTTGACAAGAATAAACTTCTTCATATAGGAAGATGCAATTGTGAAGATTCTTCACGTTTATCAATTATAACTGCCATTAAATGTCCAGATTGTTAAATTAGTAAATTAGTAAATTTCCGCGATGATGCTGCGCCATTAAAGTAGAATTTTTTACAACTTAAAAGGAATGAGTAAAAATAATGAATTTTTAAATTTATTATGTTACAGTAACTACAAAATTTTTCAAGAAAAATGTTAAGATCGATCATTTCGTATAGAATTTTCTGACCGAATCCGGTTATGTCTATGATAGATTTCTTGCGTTTGCTAAAGTTTTTAAATAGATTAATAAATTGTTATAAATAAATAACAACAAAAAAAGTTAATTAAATAAAATAATAAAAACAACCATATACATTTATCTTAATAGGATAAGTAATATTTGAATTAGGAATGAAAATAAGTTTTTTTAATCAATTTTTTTTGATCCGTAATTTTGGCCACTTCATCTACTGAAAAAAAAATTTTTCTGTGAAACTAGATTCTTTACGGTAGAAAATTAATCAACTTCACATTTTTTCACAATTCTAGTTCTATAAAGCCCACTTTACTCTCTTCAAGTATAAACAAGTATGGACGGTACAAACCAGGTAATTTCTTTTTTCCTAAAAAAAAAAAAGAAAGAAAAAGAAATTACTGGATTTTAGCTTTATTAAAAAAGTCGTTTTTTTTTATAGTCAATAGTTGAAAAAAAAATCGTAGTCATAACCGACCAGGTTTATTATTATTTTTTTTTTTTAAAAAAAATGTTTTTGGTTCATAAAAAGTGTTGTGAAACCTTACTCGTTAAATAAAATTATGATACTCGTAAAACTAGGAAATTTCAAAGCATTTAAAACAAACTAATAACCTTCCAACGCGCAAATGGAAGGTTTCGATTTATGCAGTTGACGAATTGGGAGAACATAGACCTTTGAATTACGTTGAAAAAGTTGAATATATTTTACATCCAACATTTGAACCCCCAAAAAGAGGTAATGAGAAAAAATTCTTGAAAGTGAATTTTAATGATTTCATTAAATGATATTCAATTAAATTTATTATAACTTTGTAGTGATTATGTTTTGAAGATTTATATACTATTAATCATTTACAATTGCTTAGTATGCACAATCAATATCACATATTTCAATTAGATTTTATTGGTGACATTTAGATAGTCCACGATATTTTCTCACGTTCTCACGTTTTTTGAGAAGAATCATTTGCCTATTTATTAATTTACTTTTTTTTAACGTATAATTATCTAATGAAAATAATATTTGTTACCATATATTATAGTGGTGCGGAAACCTCCATTTACCCTCTCTGAAAAAGGTTGGGGCGAATTTGATATGAAGATTATATTACATTACACAGATAAAAGTGTTCCTCACGTTACTTTAGATCATGATCTAAATTTCAACAAATCTCATTATGAAGTTTCTCATAGACTAGTAAGGGTTATAAAATTTTACTTTGTTTATAAAATACAAATAATATACACGCACTATATTGATTTAAAAAATTTTTTTTTTTGGTCAGACTTTTATGGATCCAAAACCAACATTTCAGTTGTTGCTTTTTCACGAAAAATCAGGAGATACGAATTCACCTAAATCTAGCAAAAAAAAATCCAAACCATCACTTAACGCTACTAGCAAACGGCAAAAGACTGATACGTCTGGATCACCAGATTATGAATCCGGTAATTCTTCGCGTTCACCGTGTTCTGCCAACGAATCCACAAATGATAAAGAGAATCATAAAGTAGATTATCAAAAATTAGCAAGGAACCTTTACGCGTTGGACGAGGATGATATACTTGAAGTGATACAAATTGTCAATGATAATCGTTCAGAAGAAATGTATATAAATGAAGATATTGAGGGTAAGTTCTCTTTTTTACTCTTAAAATGATCAACATTCTCTCATATAAACCTTCCCTTTAGGAGAATTTCATATAGATTTGTATACTCTCGGCGAAGATTTATTGAAAATACTGTGGGATTTTACAGAATCAAAATTAGATCCTTCAACTATTTAAACAATCTATGATTTTATAGTAAATGTAACTGCTTAGTCTCCTCAGGAAATTTTCATTTAAAATTCTTTAAGATCATTTGTATTGAAATTTTATTTCTTATACTTATTTGTCATTATCTAAATATAAATTTTGGTGATTTGTTAAAATGGATAAATTTATTTTAATACTCTCAAGCGAGCTGTTTTTTTTTTTCTTTTTTTTTTTAAAATTTTAAAAAAAAAAATTTTCTAGAATTAGTCGGACATGGTTTTGAAAGTGTAACTATAAAGTTCATTGATAAAATTTGCGTTTTAAAAATTATAAATAACTTTTATTTGTAAAAAAAAAAAATTTTAAGTATGACGCGTTTAACTGAATTGTCAATAAGATTTATTAATTTGATAAATCAAACCAATTCAAGTATATAAATAGAATAAACTATAATTAATTTCTTAAGTCATGAAATTATAAAATATAAACCTATTAAATAAAACTTACATTTTAACTTTTTAAAAGGTGATTTTGTTACCCTTTGGAGGAAGTATGGCTCCACGATTTGCCGCTGCTGCGAGATTGAATCCACCGCGACCTCCTCTTCCGCCTCCATAATCATTACCACCACGGCCACGGCCACGTCCACCACCACCACGTCCACCACCGCCACGTCCACCACCACCACGTCCACCTCCACGTCCTCCTCGACCAAAAGATACACCATTACGATTTCCAAACCCTATATCACCCAACAGTCAATTAAGTAATTACATAATAAATTAAACAAAATATATATATTTATATTCTTACTTGAATTATTATTGCCTCCTTGAGGTTTTCCAGTAGAAAAATCGAGACGAATAGGTCGCCCACATATTTTAGTACCATGTAATTCCATTGCTTTTTGCGCCGCATCAATGTCAGAGAATTGTACGTATCCAAAACTTCAATACAAAAATAAAAAAATAAATAAATAAATAAATAAGCTTACAATGAGAATAGAATGACATCACTAACGCTTACCCTTTCAGGCCGCCCGAATCTTCGTGAGTTGGGAGTCTAACTGAAACAATCTGACCATATTCACCGAAAGTTTCCCACATTTGGTCTTCGGTTATATTAAATGCAAGATTTCCTACAAAGATTGTGTCACTAACTTCACTTGTACCCATTTGTAAGTCATCCTTTTTGGATTGTTTTGGAGTGGAGAAGTCTAAATTAATTGTTCTTCCGTCAATTTCTTTACCCAAGAATTTCATTGCATTACTAGCTTCTTCAGCAGTAGTGAATTCTACATAGCCAAACCTATATAACATCAACATTAATCAAAATGAATTTAAAAAGTACAATGACAATATAACTTTTTAATTACCCTTTAGATCTTCCGGTATCTCTGTCGGAAGCGATGCGAACATCAACAATTTCGCCAGCCTCTTTAAATTCATGACGTAACCATTCAGCATCAACATTGTATGAGAGATTTCCCACAAAAATTGTATTGGTTTCGGAGGGATTCTCATATACTTTAGGTTTTTTTGCTGAATTAGAATCATCTTGTTCTATTTTTCGTTTTGATGAATTGAGAACTGATATAGATATATTAACCTCCGGTTTTTCAGGGACCATTTTTTTATCTTCATCCGAATCACTTTCGGATTCACTTGAACTGCTACTATCCGAGGAATCTTGTTCTTGATTATTCGTGATATTTTGAGCATCATCCGAATCACCCGAATCTTCCGAATCTTCTTCCTCTTCTGATGAGCTGGAATCGCTGGTTGTTTTACTTAATTTGACTTTATTAGTTCCATTAACCTTACTTGTTGTTTCTTCTTCACTTTCACTAGAATCACTTTCTGAAGATGAAGATTCATCTTTTGATTTTTTTATTTTACCTTCGTGAGAACTAGATTCTTCTTCACTACTAGAAGTACTTACTTTCTTCACATTTAACTTATTATTTTTTGGTTTAACTTTCGATTCTTCCTCAGAACTATCAGAAGCAGAACTTTCACTAGCAGAACTATTACTGCTATCTTCACTAGAACTTTTGGTTGTCTTTTTGATTTTATTTTTTACATTTAACTTGTTTCCTTCACTCTCTTCGTCGCTACCGCTAGTATCAGAAACGTTGGCCTTTTTTGGTGCACTAGAATCTGAATCTGAAGAATCACTCTCAGAACTTAAAACTTTGATCTTCTTAGCAGCGGTTCCGTTTTTTTTTATTGACGATAACTTGGTATTTTTCGTTTTTCCATTTTTCTTATCTTTGAGTTGTGTGGCCTTCGCCGCAGTAACCTTTTCTATTTTTTTACCCATGATGATAAATAACAAAAAAGAAACGAACGAAAAAAAAATTTTTTTTTAATCCATCTAATAATTATTCATGGCAACCAATCGGATGGATTGTTATTGTTAATGAAAAAAAAAAAAAAAAAAATCTTTTGAGAAGAAATTACATTTAAGGTTTTTAGGGATACAATTTTTGACCCTCGAAACCGAGGTAGCGAAAATTCTGATGTTAACTTTTAATGAAGTTATCTGAATAATCTGTGATCAGAAATTGAGGAAATTTTCCTAGTTGAAATCGTCTCGACGAGAGGTTCAATAAACTAATCGGAAAAATTGGAAAATTGTAATTTATCCAGATTGGAAAAGATATATAGCATTCAAACAAACCATTATTGATCTACCAATTTTGGTGATTTCGATCATAATTCGTATTACGCATAGATAATCAATTCAACAATTTTAAATTAACGTTTAATGAGTTCTTTGTATGCTATGAATTAATCGGGGGTTTTAAATCGAGCCTTGCTTTCTAATGTTTCATCAATCAACGCCATTATTGTTGATTTTATATTGTTAAATGTTATATGTGCGCGGTAGACCAATTCTAGAATGTGTGGTTCCAAGTTAACTTTTTAGTTATGCAGAAATATATTGAAATTCAAATTTTTTTCCTTTCAAGATTTGTAAATCTCTTATTATTTCATCTATTCTAAGACGATCCTATCATGTGAAAAAGTGACCTATTTTTACACACATAGTCTTACCTCTTAATTCAATGATCCATAAAGTATATCTTATAAATATCAGTATTTTAATTTTAGTATTATTTCACAAAAAAAAACATAACTTTAATTTTGTAAAAAGTTATAAATAAAATATATTCAAATTATATACATTAAAAATAATTTAACATATTTAAATTAGTTAAATTTTAAAATTAAATATTTATTTAATTTTGTATAGTTATGATTTAAAAATTTAAATAAAATAATGTAATAATTATGGAAATTATTGTGTTAAAGATAATATTTTTAATTATTTTGAAAATTTGTAATTTGCAAAATTTATTACTTAATTGTGTCTATAAATTTGCAATATTACAATATTTATTATTTAATTATATATATAAATTTGTAACATTAAAATTTTATTACTCAATTGCATATATAAATTTGTAATTTATTAATTTATAATAGTCCTATATAATAATAATAAAAAAGTATATACAGTCAAACCTTGATATAGCGAACCCTTGATATAGCGAATTTTTAAATCAAATATATTAAAATTACCTTTACTATAGTGAACTAGCCAATTAAATTCTTTAAAAAATTCGTTATAAGCTTATAACAAAATTGATATCCAGATCCTAGAATTCGTTATATCAAGAGTTCACTGTACATAGAATTTGAATAGTCAAAATATCTAAATATCTTGCATTGGTTAATATGTATATAAAGTATTACAAACATATCTACCTTTATGTAAATGAGCATTTAATATTACAAATCCTCAATGTATTTGTTGTTTATGTTACGAAGACTTAGATAAGCACATTTATCATTATTCTAAAAAAGGAAAATGAGTAACACATATATTACTGAACATTCACATAAAGAAAATATAATAAAAGAACTCAAATTTTTAGGCGACTGGTTAATTAATATTACACAGACAGAAAATGATGAAATTAAAAAGAAAAGGTTGAAAAAAACTATAAAAACATTAATCTCAAAGTTAGAGAGGCAGATAAGTAAAACTAAAATAAAGCAAAAATTTCTGTGTTAGTAGAGTTAATCTAAAAAGATGGGATAGCAATGATAAAATCTATATTATAATTTTTGTGAACAAGTAAAAAAGTAAACTCAAATGGGAATCAGGAGAAGTAAAATGAGAAAAAAATTTGTGTGAACCATTAATATATAAAGTAGATTAATTCTCCTCTTTTAGATAAATTTAAATTGGTTAAGAAGAATATAGGTCAATAGAACTGGAATCAAAGATTCAATAGTACAATAGGAAAGATGGTTACTAATTATCAAGTTATTAGATATAATTAGTATTCTGCAAAAAATCTGATTCAATATAAATCAGATCCAGATCTGACAGATCAAATCAAATCAGATTTAGATCTAGATTTTGATTTGATTCAATCTGTCAGATCCAGATCAGATTCAGAATTGAATTTAATTCAATTTGATAGATTCAGATTTGGATTCAGATCTGATTTGTTAGATTTGAAATAAAAAATGCTACCCTGAAGTCAGACATAGCATTTATTATTAAAAAATTTAATTTTTAATAATAAAATGCTACCCAAAAGTCAGACACAGCATTTATTATTAAAAAATTAATTTTTATTAATTTTTAATAACAAAATATCATCCCAAAAGTCAGAGGTGATATTTATTAATAAAAAATTAATAAAAATTAATTTTTAATAACAAAATGCTGTCCTGAAAGTCAGAGGCGGCATTTATTATTAAAAAAATTAATGTTTAATAATAAAATGCTGCCCCGAAAGTTAGATGTAGCATTTATTAATAAAAAAATTAATAAAAATTAATTTTTTATATTAAAATGCTACCCTAAAAGACAGATGTAACATTTATTAATAAAAAATTGATTTTTTTATTAATTTTTAATAATAAATGCTGATCTGAATGTCAGAGATGGATTTTTGTTAAATAAACAAAATTGTTGTTTTTTTAATATTAAAACATCATTCTGAACGTTAAAGACAGATTTTTGTTAAAAAAAACAACAAAATTGTTATTTTTTTAATATTAAAATGCCATTCTAAATATCGAAGACAGATTTTTGTTAAAAAACAACAAAATTGTTATTTTTTTAACATTAAAATGACATTTTAAATGGTGGAGACAGATTTTTGTTAAAAAAATTTTTTGATCTATCAGATATGAATATGGATTCAGATACAGATTCAGATTTGTTGAATTCAGATTTATGCAATTCAGATATGAATTCAGATTCAGATTTATCAGATTCAGATCGAATTGGATTTGAATTTTTTAAATTCAGATCAAATTAGATTTACCCAAATTTGATCTGATCTGATCCATATAAAATACTAGATATAATGTTTAGCCTCATATCCAGGTATTTTTGAATTGCTTAGTCTAATACAGATTTAATATTTCTTTTTAATAAATAAAGCTTTTCTAAGTTGACTTATATAAAGAAATTAATTTGAATGAGTTGAGGAAGATTGATATCAACTAAATTATCACAAAATAAACATTAGTTAACAATAAGAAGTCAGTTTTGTTGTAAATTATTATTGAAAGTATATTTATTACAGGCTATTAAAATGTTTTGTTTTTTTGAAGGAGATCTTAAATTTGCAATTAAATTAGATAGAACAAAGTATTAAAATAGAATTTTGTTAAAAAATATGAGATTTAAAAGATTTTCTAAAAATTGTTTGTCTAGGATAAGAAAGATTGTAAAAATTCAATTCTAAAGGGGTCAAAAAAGTAACCCTATCAGACACTTTGTTCAAATTTAAAGAAGAAGATGTTTTAAAATCAGAAGAGATAAAAGATAAAATAATATATTAATCTTTAATTCTTTTTGAGTGTACAGGGTTACTTAAAACCAAATTTTTCAGATAAGAGAAATACTCTAGTTAGTTTCCTTTTTTTTGTACTGTGATCATTGTTAACTTGAATTGCTAGATCTCTAAAATGTAATAAAAAGTTTCCATTATATATCAATTGATCAAAAAAATAACAAATTTATGTCGCAGTGAACTAATCCACTTTTTTTCCAAGGGATTATATTTTAAAAGTAATTTCCCTTTAATCAAGAATATAGAGATACTTGAGTTGGTATTTGTAAAGAAAATATTTGATTGTAGATAATAGGAAATAATGTTGCTAAGAAAATTATCATATTGTATAATATTTAGAGATGCTGGCCAACAGATTAAGGGATTATCATGAAACCAATAGAATACTTACAGTTATTTTAGTCAGATCTCTATAGTCTTTGCAAATAAGGATAAAGATTGATTCCCATTTATCATAATAGCAAAATGTTGAATTTTTGAATATAGCATGTTAGTGATAAAGTCATTAAAACTATTTGTAAATTTACTGTTTAATATACTGTTAGGGGTTGATTTGGGACATTTCAGTTTATGTTTGAAAAAAAATCCTAACTTGAGTGAATAATGCATTACATTCTTTAGATAAAAGAATGACTAATTGAGATTAATATTCAATACGAGTGATCAAAACTATATTGAAAATGTATTTTAGCTATTTGTCAGTTAATGGTTTACATTTTAGTTTTAAGATAAAATTAGTAATTTCATCTTTAATTTATTGTTTGATGTATGTTTTATTATTTTTGGCGGAAATCCACATACCTAAATATCTTGTTGATTTAGAAGGCTTTGTTGGAAAGAAAATTGGTTTGTTTAAAAATTCACTGAATATTAAAATGTCGACTTCAGTTGCTTCAGAAATGAGAATAAAGGATCTATCATAATTAACTTTTATTGAATTTAGGTCAAAAAATAATTAAGCAATGTTAAAAATAGCTAATAGATTGGTTAAATTGTTTGTAATCCAAATTGTGTTATCCATATATGCTGAGTTAGGAATATGAGTTAAAATATCTGAAATATCAGTTTTGGTGATATTTGATTGCTATGAAACAGATATTTTATAATTATAATTAGACTTTTATATTTGTAATAGAAGAGGATCATAGTAAATGACCCAAAGCAAAGGAGAAATAACTTCTCATTGATTGATTCCCACAATAATATTATAAGGATCTGTATTACCATATGGGAATGTTTTTAGTAAAATCAAGTCATGAGACATAGTAAATCATATGATCTATAATGTGATTTTACTGGAAACGCTCCCATATACTATAAAAACTGAGTTTTTTCAATTTAAAAAGAGGTTAGTTATTACATTAGTAAATGTAAGAGGGATTTTTAATCTTTTCATTGCTTTTCTGAGCATATAAATATTGATCCTATTGTAGAC